TGCTTTGACCCACAAAATGCGAATTGTTTGCAATTTGTATATTTTACCATGAAATACTTGATATAATGAAACGCGTTTTGAAATATGTCAGAATGACCATAGGTTAAAAGCAAACAAAATATGAATGAATAAAGTTTGAATTTGGGGAGTTATTTTCGCTGATGACTAACCATGGGATACAGTCCAAAATATGCAATGAAAATATTTTGTCTTATAAAAAGATACGAAATCTCTAAAGAAATCTGACTAACAATTTTCGTGTCTTCGTGCCTTTGATGAGGAAACCTGACCACTGATTAAAGCTTAACTCAGGTGTTTAAAGTGTGAAACTGGTCGAACGCCAAGGGAACGACAGTTTTAAAGCTTGGCCCATAGACACATAACTACCATTTTTAACCATTTTTAAGTAATATAATCACCCCACACACAGGTATTTTTAAGTAAGATTAAAACAAGATTTTTAATACCCGGTACTGAGCATACTTGTGTATGGGATGAGAGCAAGGGACATGATGGTAAAACCTGTTCACTTTCCTGACTTCTTTCCCCCTTGAATTGTGAAACAGTTTAAGCGATCCAGTCATTTTTTTAGAGGCTTATTTTTATTTCTATTGATTCTAGTACTACATTTGGCAATACTGACATGGGTGCGCTGGAGGTTGTCGTCAATTCCACGTGATCCAGAATTTTTTTATAATTTATAACCAGTTCACATTTTAAATGTTGAATCACTAACGATCTACACACACACACACACACACACACACACACACACACACACACACACACACACACACACACACACACACACACACACATACACACACACACACACATATACATATATATAATGTGCACACATGTCTATATCTTCACACACACAAACATCCACACGCACGCGAGCACCTCTGCCACCCTCCCTCGGAAGGCCATCCCCGCGCCCTCAACAGTCGTCCCGCTCTGAGGCCGCGCCATTCTCGTCCTAATTGGCTTCTTTTTTAATTAAGTCATCTCCAGGCGATCCCGCTGAAGAATTGCCATGCGAGGAGGAGGTGCGAGAGCATGGGGCTCCTCCAGGAAAATCCGTTGCAGTGGAACGGGAGTCTTTGAAGAGGCGAGGCCAGAGGACGGAATGGCGGCGTGGTGTTTACCGGCGCGAGCTCTCGACGCCTGGCTAATCTTCTCTTCTGTCGCGGATTTTGCTTTCTCCGGTTCTTCGACTGAATTTTTTTTTTATTATTCTCTTTGTTTATCTTTTGTTATTATGTGTTTTTTTTTCTCTTTTCATTTCTTCATCTCTCTCTCTTTCTCTTTCTCTTTCTCTTTCTCTTTCTCTCGCTCTTTCTCTTTCTTTCTCTTTCTCTTTCTCTTTCTCTTTTTCTTTTTCTTTTTCTTTCTCTTCCTCTTTCTATCTCTCTCTCTCTCTCTCTCTCTCACAAATATTTACAAGCAGATGATTGTCTCCATTCATAACCATCAATAATTTGAATAGCAAAACACATACCAAGTTAACACAATACCACAAAAAAAGGAATGGAAGATCCACAAGGCGATGGGGGTGAAACCATCGTCGCCTTTAGGGAACATATTTTGAGTGTGGTGTTTTTTTTTTCTTTTTTGTTTGATTGTTTTATTCTGCTATTGATTATTATATTTTTAGAAGTATATAGGTGGCTTGTGATGTAATTGACATTGACGATATGACATTACTCAACATTTTCAAGCACATATGTATTTTATACGTATAAGATTTCTCTTTCTCTCTCTCTCTATCTATCTATTTATCCATCAACTTATCTGTCTGTTAGGCTGTTTATCTCACTCTCTTCTCTCAATATATGTGTGTGAGTGAGAGTGAGAGTGTGAGTGTGAGTGTAAGTGTAAGTGAGAGTGAGAGTCAGTGTGAGTGTGAGTGTGAAAGTGAGAGTGAGAGTGAGAGTGTGAGTGTAAGTGAGAGTGTATGAGAGAGAGAGAGAGATAAAGAGAGAAAAATACCGAATACAGCCAGTGCAGTCACTCTTACACCTAACCACAAACATTTCAAAACAACTATTTCACTTCTTCCTTCCCATCCTAATTACAACTAAACTCGAACGCCAGATTAAACCTTCCTCGGCGCGATAGTATATTTAGTTGATCACACGCATAATTACTATGTTCTGTTAAAAGGTTTTGAACTTGTTGGCAATAACACCTGGACACTTGCCTTCGAAGAATCATCATTTTTTTTTTTTTTTTTTTTTTTTTATCAATCGTTTCTCAATAATTATTACTTCGCGACAATTATAATTGCGTTAGTGTAAATCATTTGGTTATCAGGAATTAAAACAAGGACGCATATGTATACAAAACAAATACATATTCATTATCACTTTAACGTTCTTTTTTTCCGGAAAAAGATACGTACCATTTCCCATTTAAGATGTAAGGATACAGGGATAGTACAAACGCGAGAAAAAATGTTTGTAATTACGAAAAGGAGAAAAAGATTCCCAGAAATTCCCAGAATTCTCCTCTACGATATACCTTTTTCTCTTTCTCTCTCTTTCCTTCTGTTCTCCTTCTTCCCATCACACCTTAGGGTTAGAATGGGAAATTTCTCCTCTATACACAACGTATACAATTAATTCGATAAACTTCCCTTTATACCTTTTTCTCTTTCTCTTTCTCTTTCTCTTTCTCTTTCTCTTTCTCTTTCTCTTTCTCTTCTCTTTCTCTTTCTCTTTCTCTTTCTCTTTCTCTCTCTCTCTATCTATCTATTTATCCATCAACTTATCTGTCTGTTAGGCTGTTTATCTCACTCTCTTCTCTCAATATATGTGTGTGAGTGAGAGTGTGAGTGTGAGTGAGAGAGAGAGAGAGAGAGAGAGAGAGAGAGAGAGAGAGAGAGAGAGAGAGAGAGAGAAAGAGAGAGAAAAATATCGAATACAGCCAGTGCAGTCACTCTCACACCTAACCACAAACATTTCAAAACAACTATTTCACTTCTTCCTTCCCATCCTCATTACAACTAAACTCGAACGCCAGATTTAAACCTTCCTCGGCGCGATAGTATATTTAGTTGATCACATGCATAATTACTATGTTCTGTTAAAAGGTTTTGAACTTGTTGGCGATAACACCTGGACACTTGCCTTCGAATCGAATAACTTTCTTCTGTTTTGTATATGTTTTTTTTCGATTTTTTTACATTTCTTCAGACGTCAAAAAAATCAATCGTACAATAAAGTTAGTTTATTGACACCGAAGCTGTCATTTCGTTACTTGTTTGCATTGTGTGTGTGTGTGTGTGTGTACATACATACATACATATATGTATATATATATATATATATATATATATATATATATATATATATATATATATATATATATTTATATATTAAGAAATAAATGAAAATGCATATTTCCCCGATTACAAGATCCAAGAAGCACAGCCCTAACTACCTAACACAGACGGACACGACAATAAAAGGAAATTCGCAAACAAAATAGACCCTAAAACCTACAAAGACAAACATAGAGGAAAACTTGAAAACAAAAACAAACAAAAAATGCCCAAACATTGAGAAAAGCTTGAAGTTCCCGCCGTTGGGTCGCCTTGAGCCACATTCCCGCTCCGATTGGCTCTTTTAACGGAGTCCTTGGCTTCAGACCGACGCGCGAAGGAAGCGCTGAGGAGGAAGCACGGAGGAGAGGACGCCATCTTGGGACGTCGCGACGCGCCTTGCTGAGGGGTTGCGTTTCTCGCTCTCTTGCTTTTTTGTGTGTCTTTCTCTGTATTCGTGTTTTTTTTTTCTCTCTCTCTCTCTTTCTTTTGCATCGAATCGCTTTGCTAACCACCGTCTTCTCTCTTTCTTTCTCTGTTACTCTCTCTGAGATTGAGGTAGTTTCTGCCTCTCTCTCGCTCTCTCTCTCTCTCTCTCTCTCTCTCTCTCTCTCTCTCTCTCTCTCTCTCTCTCCGTCTGTATGTGCCCATTCACCCACCCATTCACCTATTTATCTATCTGTCTATCTATATATTTATTTATCCATTTATCGGCCTATTAATCTATCTCACTAAAGTTGCGCAAGTGTTTTACCCGCATGATTACAAACTTTGTTTAGTTTTTCATATTCACATAATCATATAACTTGCAATCACGAAGGAGACAGTTAAACTAATTTCTTCAAAATTCTTGAGGATATTTACATTAACATATAAGTAATTATGAAAATGACTAAGAAACACATGCATAATCACACCTGGTTTATCGAATTCAAAGAATAAGACTAAGCTATAGAGATATTTTTCTTTATTCGTTTTCATATGATTCGTTACTCATTTCTGAAAGTCATTGTACACACAAGTACACGTACATGCATGCACGGGAATATTCACACAGTTACAGAATGCAGGCGTTGAACAGGAGCTTAATAAACTCTTAAGTGCAGTTTACGTTGTTGATTCAGGCCGCTCGTTTCTTACCCACACATATAAACCCATTTCAGTATAGTCGTTGAACACATGTCTCTGTGCATTAGTGTGGCGTTTATTCCTACCAAGGATAACAAGATATATGGATAATAGTGTAGCCTAATACAGGGAACTCGTTTCATGTAGATGTAGATTATGTATACTTCAGATATTCAATATGTTTATAGTTCCTGTGTACAAATATCGACTTAAATGTATGAGGATAAATGAAAAGATATTTTTTCTTATTATCAACATACAAAAACTAACAAAAGACAAGTACACAAAATACATTAGAAAGGTGGCTTACGCACTTATACTCCGTCCATTCCCAGGAAAGGAAAACTGGCAACTCACCCGAGACTGTAGGTATTCCGACAGCTTTATTCTGTCTTGAGATAAATATATAAGTAAAAAATAAAGTAGTTCTGAGGGAAGCAAACTTCAATAGAAACAAAGAAAATAAAAACACTGCACATCAATTTTGATATATTCAAACGTAGAGTATTAAACGCCATCTGATGAGACTACAGTAAAGAGAAACATGGCGAACCGGAATCCTCTTGAGTCGGGTGAGTTGCCAGTTTTTCCTTTCCTGAAACTGAACGAAAATCTTTTAAAACTGTTAAGTCAAAGCACTTTTGTTTTAAATATACGTGCACATGCACACACACACACACACACACACACACACACACACACACACACACACACACACACACATATATATGTATATGTATATATATATATATATATATATATATATATATATATATATATATATATAATATATATATATATATTCATATATATATATATATTATATATATATATATATATATATATATATATATATATGTATATATATATGAATATATATATAAATATGTATATGAATATATATATATATGTGTGTATGTGTGTGTGTATGTGTGTGTGTGTGTGTGCATATATATATATATATATATATATATATATATATATATATATATATATATATATATATATATATATATCATGTACACGAAGGAAAAGGCTACGGCCAAAGAAATAGAAATTAGAGCGCGCCGAAAGTCTCAATTTGGCCCAAGCGAACACATTTTACGAGAGGTCAGATAATCTCATTACATAAAAGAGCGGAGTATAGAGAAAAAAAGTTAATGAAAAGTATGATGGTTCAACAGCCACAGTAGAAGAAAACTGGAGGGCACTGAAGATAGCCGCCATGGACTCAGCAGCCGTAGGGACCATCGGGGAAGGAAAACACCAGGAAAAGGAAACATGGAGGTGGAGTGAGAGAAGATCAAGGAGAAGAAAGAGAAGCAATTTTACAAAAAAATATGAAAGAAGTTAAAGTGATGGTAAAGGCCAAAGAATAAGCATGGCCCGAATGGTATGCAAGAATGGACATGGAAGAGGGCGAGATGATGATATACAAGGTGGCCAGACAAAGAGCAAGACAAAATGTGAGAGAAGTTAGTGTGATCAAAGACAAGAATGGAGTACTGGTAACAGATGAGCAGAGGATAAAACCGAGATGGTGAGATTACTTCAACAACCTTCACACCGTAGAAAAATGAGAGACCCGCTTGAAAGACTGCCACTGGCGGAAGGCCTCTTACAAGAAATATCATTTAAGGAGGTCGGAGACGCCCTAAACAAAATTAAAAGTGGAAAAGAAGCCGGAGTGTCTGGGCTGCCAGGGACCTTCTGAAACTCCATGGTGAGCAAGGAATAGAAATGATGCAAACCTTACTACAGAAGATCTGGAGTAAAGAAGAAATGCCAAAAGAATGGGAATAAAGTGAAATATTAACCGTCTTTAAGAGAAAGGGAAACCCATTGGAGTGTGTTAATTACAGTGGTATTAAGCCGCTGGAACATGGAACAAAGGTCTTAGAGATGATCATAGAGAAGAGACCACGCAGGCTTATTATCACCGATGACACGCAGTCCGGTTTTTCTCAAGGAAAAGGAACAATGGATGCTGTGTTCATCATCAAGCAGCTGCAGGAAAAACATCTTGAAGTAGATAAAGACTTATACTTCACCTTTGTAGACCTGGCGAAAACATACAATAGAATCCCTAGATGCCTTGTGTAATGCTGCCTGCGATAAAGGAAAGTTCCAGAAAAGCTAATCAGATTGGTAAAGGCAACAGATAAGGGGGCTAGAACTGTAGTGAGGACCAAGTACGGGAAAACGGATGAATTCATAAGCACGACTTTTAGAGGAGGACTACTGTGGGAACTGTTGTTTGCCGATGATTGGGCCCTGATGGCAGATAATGAAGACGAATGGCTGTGATGGCAAAATGGAATGGAAAAGAAAGGACTGCAGAAGTCATGGTTAGCAGTAGAAGAGGGACGAGAGAGGATATTAGAGACCGAAACAATGCCAGCTTGAAATAGGTGGACCAATTCAACTACCTAGGAGTAACAGTGTCCGAGAAAGGTACCTTAGACTCAGCAATAAAAGCAAGAGTGACCGCAGCATGGACAACATGGAGAGAGCTGTCTGGTGTCACCAGTGATAGGAAAATGCCAAGAAAGTTGAAGATTAAGGGGTACAGCACCATAATAAAACCTGTCCTACTATATGGTGCAGAATCGTGGACAATGCGTGCCAAAGATGAAAAAATACTCGAGATAACGGGGATGAGAAAAATAAAAGGAGTTACACTGAGGGACCGGAAAAGAAGTGAGCGTGCCAGGAAGGAGTTAGTTGTAATAGATATCAAAGAACAAAGATCAGAATGCGATGGTATGATCATGTGATGAGAATGGAAGATCGGTATCCAGTGAAGAGAGCAATGTGTGAAAATGTAAAGGGAAGAAAACCGAGAGGAAGACCAAGAAAGAGATGGAAAGAAAATGCCAAAGAAGATATGCGTCACTTCCAAATCACAGACGAAGCCGTGCATAACAGACAGCAATGGAAGGTGCGGACAAAGGCAGCCAACCCTGCAATTTAAGAGGGATAGTATGTTATAGGAGAGGAAAAAGAAAGAAAAAAATATATATTTGTGTGTGTGTGTGCGTGTG